ACTGGATCAGAACTAGAACAGGTCAGAACCATAATGGATCAGAACCTCATGTTCCCCTCATTTCTCAGCTCGGATCTAAACCCAGTCAGAACCAGTTTACTGGTTTGGGTCGGGTTTTAGAGGAATGTTATGTCTATAAAGTTCTGTTGTATCCATAACTGGTTCTGGACCAAACCAGAACCTGAGCAGCTGCTGAAGTTCAGATCAGCTGCTGGTTCTGAACCTGACCCATCCATTTAAAGCTGTGATAATCATCATCATGACCAAACATCTGGTTCTGGTTCCAGATTCTGTTTAATCCATCCAGAACTTTTTCTCCTCAGTTTCCAGTTTCTGATGAAGAGTTTCCTTTAGTGATGAAGATGAACCCACACATCATCCTCCTCCTCCTCCCTCTGCCGCTCTGGACCAATCCCAACACAGCATTTCAGCCGTCCAATCAGAGCGCTGCATGGTGATGTCATGCAGCTGCTGTGGAACTGATGCTGCTGAGCTGCAGAGCAGAGCAGAGAGCAGAGCGGCGAGGCTGCAGGTCAGTATCTCACAACAAATCTTTCTTCCTTCCTTCCTTTCTTTCTTTCTTTCTTGCTTTCTCTCTTTCCTCTCGTTCTTCTTCTCTCATTCTCTGCTGTTCTTTCTGTCGTTTTCCTCTGAACTCGTTCTGCAGGTGATGCGTTAAAACAATGACATCATTGCTCTCATCAGCACATTTTCTGCTCTGAAAATGTTTCAGTGAAACCAGCACCAGTTCTGCTGACTGGTGCTGGTTTCACTGGTGTCATTGGGAATGTGGAGGATTTCCTGCAGCTGCACTTTATCCAATGAAGAAGTGATGCAGGAAACCTTTTGGTTCTGGATGTTCTGCTGGTTCTGCAGCTTCACCTGCAGGTTCAGAACTGGGTCCCAGTCAGAACTGGCCGGTCCGTGTCAGAACCAGAATATCTGGGATGTCTAAGGCGCTGAAGTTTCTGGAGGTTCGAATGACTCAGACAAGTCAAAAAAGCTTCAGAGGAAAGAACCAGAAAAGGTTCTGATCCAATCAGAACCAACAGGACTCCCAGCTGGATGAAAATAAAACAGGAACATTTAGATTAATTAGGGGCAGTCCAGTTTGGATCCAGAGTTCTGGTTTTGGAGTCTCTGCTGCAGCAGGAAGCCTTATGGAAGTTTTGGACCTGGCTCTGGCTCTTGTGCGTCTCTGCTGCAGCAGCGAGCCTTGTGGAGGTTCTGTTGTGGTTCTGACCCGTTTGTCTTGTCCTCAGGAACAGATTCTACCTCACCACAGTGTCTTTGCCGGAGAAAAGGATCATGACCCTGACAGGTGAGCAGGTTCTCTGGCCCGGCCCGGTCTGGTCCGGCCGGTCCGGTTCATCTCCTTCACTCTGCCCTCTGTTCTCCTCCATGTTCCAGCGTACAGAGAGAAGATGCGAGAGCTCCCCCTGGTGTCCATCTTCTGCTCCTGCATCCTGCCTCAACCTGGGGAGCCGACGGCCAACAAGCAGGAAGGTCAGCAGCATCTTGAGTTCTGTTAATGTGTAGCTCTAAGTTAAATATTTAGGCTGGAGCTGAATATTTAATTTAGAAACTACATATTTCAATAATTTAACTAATTATTCAGCAGGGAAACATTTAGCTCCACTCCTGCATCGTTTAACAGTTACCTCAGCGTTAGCTTAATATTTACCTCAGAGCTAGCTTAAATTTACCTCAGAGCTAGGTGAATAGCTCTGAGGTAAATTAACTATTTACCTAGCTCATTTACTGCTATAAACCTTGTCGTCTAACGGAAACAGCTTATCTGCTTTCCGTTAGACGACAAGGTTGCAAATGAATCTAGCTCTTAGTTCCGAGCTAGCTTAGTATTAAACTAGCTCCGAGGTAAATATTTAGCTTTGACGATCAATAGTTAGTTTTAAACTTCTATGTTTAAAGGAATAAGATGGTGAATATGTACCTTTTAAAAGTTAAACCTCATTTGTTTCTCTTCAATGACCGAAATTACCATCCTCCCTTCTGCTTTTCCAGTTTGGACTCTTAACAGCTAAAATTATGTTTTTCAATATAGATATAGTAACAAAAGCAGGTTTGTCGTCATGTTTTGCTGCAGGCGTGGTGGACCTGAACCTGTGCAACATCCGGGACATGGAGGTCATCGAGCTGAGCAAGCGCGCGAGCGGCCAGGCCTTCGAGGTCATCCTGAAGCCGCCGACCTTCGATGGGGCCCCGGAGCTGAGGGCCACCACGCCGCCCCGCCAGAAGCCGTCGCTGGCGGAGATCCAGAAGAAGCTAGACGCCGCGCAGGAGAGGCGGAAGGTGAGTGGAGGCCGGGCCAAATTCACGGTGATCAAACCTCGGCTCATGCTCTATGGCGCTCTCTAGTGTCAGGAGGCGGAGCTGCTGAAGCATCTGGCCGAGAGGAGGGAGCACGAGCGCGAAGTGGCGCAGAAAGCTTTGACCAAAGACCGCCAGGAGCATCGCGTCAACGCCAACCCGCTGCAGATGCACCTGAACTCCTCACAGGAAGAGGTGAGGACCCGACCCCTCTTAACCTCTGACCTCACCTGCTGACCCTGTCCCCCTCACCCTTGGATTGACGGACCGACGTCGGTCTCTGATTAATTGTTTCCATTTGTCTGCCTTGCAGGACAAGCACAGTATGGAGGTGAGGATGAGGATGAGGAGGCAGCCATGATGGATTCTGGGTGGGCGGAGTCAAAACAGGCCCTCTGACCCAAACCATCAGGGTTTATGGGCTCCAGAAGAAGTCGGCCATCTTTGAGTCCATTTAAAGCATTTCATTCTGATCAAATCAATACTGAAGCTAGAAACTGAATTCAATTGTTTTTTTTTTCTTAAAAAGAAGAAACCAATTAGATATTACTGGTTTTGACTTAAAATATAGATTTTAACCAATTCTAGTTGGACCCAGACTGGTACCAGGTCCGAGTTCTGGAGGTGGATGGGTAAACTCTAGTCCAGGGGTCCCCAATCGGGGTCAGAGTCCACTGGAGAGTCAAGAAATGACTTTCAGAATCATGTGACCCCTGAGGTATGGAAGGCCAGAAGAGACAAAATAACTTAGTTAATAATCTAAATGGTGAGCCTTTTAATTATTGTTATGACCTTTACTTAAAATGAATATAATTTTTTGACGATTACTAAATAAATGGAGGGAAATAATGATGTATTTTCAGGGGTCACCAGTTGGAGGTCAGCAGTCTGTCAGATTGAGTTGTGATCAGTTGCTAGTTCACGGTTTATTGACTGGAAGGACTTCAGTTTCCCAGGGAGTGCGAGACACTAGGCGACGTAGAAATATCCGGCGGAAGATGGTTACAACAGAATCACAGTCTGGGTCAAGGTCAGGTCAAGGCCATTGGGTCACATTCAGTGGATCCCTGAGCATGAGATCATTTTGATGTGTTTTATTGAAAAAGACCCAAACCAGTCTGACCCAAACCCAAACTGGGTCAGACTGGTTTTGTTGTATTTGTCCTGGTTCTGGCCGTCGGTTCTACAGTCATCTTGATGCGTGTGTGTCTGGTTGTTGCGTTGCCGCTCACCGCCTCCCTCTGCTCTCTGCCTCAGGTGTCATGATGGCCTGATCACAACACAAGCTGAACTTTATCCAGAAGCTGATTCTGAGGGCTGACTGAGGAGCTGGGAGACTGGCGCTGCTCTGACCGGGAGGACTGGGAGCAGAACCGGTGGAGGGCATGGAGGTCTGAGGGACATTTGTCTCCTCCACCAGGACCCTCGTTTTCAAACAAACGCTGCAGATTCAGTCATCACTGGACAGTTTCCTGTGGCTTTGCTGTGCTTTGTTGCCATGCCAACGGTGCCAACGTCTTCGTGTGTGAGTTTGACTGGACCAACCAGAACCCAACCCGGCTGAAACGGATCAGCAGGGTTCTGTCTGAAACTGAAGCTGGACTCAGATACCCTGAGTCAGACTGTGCCCCCTGCTGGACAGTTTGAACATTTTACTGTGAAATGGTTCCTTGGTGACATCTAGTGGCGCCTCTGAGAACAGCAGAAACTCAGGAGCCCTGCTGATAGAGCCACAGGCTCGGTACAGGTCCAGTTCTGTTTGAGAACCAGAACCAAGCAGAACCAGTTGGACTGTTCTGGTCAGGATGAAAACCTGCAGGAGAAAAGATGGAGGTCCATACGGCTTACAGACCAGAACCGTCGGACATTCGGGTCAGACCAGAACCACCTTGTTCCAAGTCACTGTCAGCAAGTGCAACTGAAAACCAAACGGCTTTAGAACCAAACCAAGAATTAGAGTCCGATTCCTGCGGTCAGGACCAAAGTACCAGTAGAACCAGAACCGGGCCCCAAACAACATGATGGAGAGTCAAAGTCTGGAGGTGGTTCTGGTCCGGTTTCAGTACGGGTCCCAATAGAGAGAGATTATGTTGACCCGAAAGTCAGACCTGGAGGTGTTCAAAGGAGATCTGACCCAGATTCAGATTAAATCAGACAAACTCGGGACCAACAAGTCCAGACGGGTCCAAAAACCTGAGAGACTGAGATACGAACCAAGACAGAGCGGCCCGGCCCAAGAGTCGGCGCCATCCACTTTTATTTCTTCAGATTCTGTTGAAATTGTCTGACGATAACTGAAAACACCTGATATGAATGGATGGATGGATGGATGGATGGATGGATGGATGGATGGATGGATGATGGATGATGGATGGATGGATGATGGATGAATTATGATTGATGATGGATGCAGCTGCTCTTATCCATCGGCCTAGTTAAAGGACATGTGCAGAAATATTTCTGAAGAATAAAGAATCAGGATCATTCAGTGTCTGAACTTTATTGATGAGGATAATAATACAGTAATAATAATAAATATCTGCTGAAGGCCACAAACTATTAAATAAACTTAAATAAGCACCATCCAGGCGGGACGCCTCCTGGCGCAAAACTTAGTGGTCAGTTTATACAATTTGATGCAAAACTTCAGAGAAAGCCAACGACTCGGAACTAGAGGTTCTGGACCTGGTTCTGGACCCGGTTCTGGACCCGGATTCACTCCTGGACGTGGACCATGTGCCGGACGCAGGTGCAGCCCACGGGGACGTTGCGGGTCTCCAGGCGGTAGTGGTAGCTATGCTCCGCCCCCTCCGTCCTGACCCGCTTCAGAACCATCACCTGGTACCAGATGGGTCGGGACTGCAAGTTCTGGTCTTCCTTCCCCTCCAGGTCCAGGCAGCCCTTCAGCAGGCAGCGCGCCTCCGACAGCGTGGGCGGGAACAGAGACTCGTCGTGGGACGTGCTGCGGACAGAGACGGGCGGGTCAGAACCGAACCTCGGCGGTGTCGGCCGGGCTCGGCGCCGTGTACTCACTTGTAGGTCCAGGGCGAGATGGAGGCGTTGTGCAGCGGCCGCGGGATCCTGATGGGCTGCAGCAGGTCCGGGTCCAGGCGCAGAGACACGGTTTGCTCGGCTGAGCCGTCGGAGCGTTTCCTGGGATGCTTCGACTCCACCTCCGCCATCATCAACATCATTACCATGACGACGGCGCCAACAACCTGAGGAGGAGGGCGTCGCCCTTCATTAGCCAGTCAGCAGGGAATGAATCGTCTCCATGGTTACAGCAGGAAGTTCTTGACATCCATCTATTTTCTGAGCACCCTTCTCCCCAACGGGGTCGGGAGGTGCTGGTGCCTCTCCAGCTGCGTTCCGGGCGAGAGGCGGGGTCACCTGGACAGGTCGCCCTGGACGGGTCGCCCTGGCAGGACGGGTCGCCTGGCAGGTCAGGTCGCCCTGGCAGGTCGGGTCGCCCTGGCAGGTCGGGTCGCCCTGGCAGGTCGGGTCGCCCTGGCAGGTCGGGTCGCCCTGGCAGGTCGGGTCGCCCTGGCAGGACGGGTCGCCCTGGCAGGTCGGGTCGCCCTGGCAGGTCGGGTCGCCCTGGCAGGTCGGGTCGCCCTGGCAGGTCGGGTCGCCCTGGCAGGTCGGGTCGCCCTGGGAGGATGGGTCGCCCTGGCAGGTCGGGTCGCCCTGGCAGGTCGGGTCGCCCTGGGAGGATGGGTCGCCCTGGCAGGTCGGGTCGCCCTGGCAGGTCGGGTCGCCCTGGGAGGATGGGTCGCCCTGGCAGGTCGCCCTGGGAGGACGGGTCGCCCTGGCAGGTCGCCCTGGGAGGACGGCAGTCTGTCGCAGGGCAACACAAAGACAAACAGCCATGCACACTCACACCTAAGGAGAATTTGGGAATCATCCTGACAGTCATGTTTTTGGACTGTGGGAGGAAGCCAGAGAACCCAGCATGCACAGGGAGAACATGCAAACGCTGTACAGAAAAACCCCGGGCCGGGAATCGAACCCAGGACTTTCTTGCTGCAGGCAACAGCGCTACCCACTGTGCCACTGTGCAGCCCGATCTTGACATCATATCCCATAGTAATTAGACTCCTTTATTGTCCATTAAACTTACATAAAATGGAAATTTATCTTTGGCAATGGCACAAGAAACACACAACACAGTCGCCACAAAATTGCATGCACAATGAACAAACAAGCTCTGTAAAAATGAAATCAAGTCATACTGTACTCATGTCATTCAGTTAAATATTAAAAACCATTTAAATTTACTATACTACTGCTAAGAGAGCACACAGAACCTCTACACTAAGTTCTGTGTTCTCTCTTAGCAGTAGTATAATGAAATATAATGAAAATCTCCATGGCGATGCAGGAGCGGCTTCAGTCAGAGGCTTCCTCAGAGCCGCTGTGACGCAGACCTCTGCAGCAGCTCTCTGAGGAATCATTTCATTTTAAAGTATTTTTGAATCAAACAAAATGCTTCAGAACCGGTTCTGCTCACAAACCGGACCAGGCCCAGACTTCCGACAAAGAAAACAGAAATAAAGTTCAATAAATCGCAGGCAGACTGGACCCTACTGACCCAATCAGAACCATGGACCGGGTCTGCTTCAGGTGGAGACACACCATCATCATCAGAACTCATCAGAACTTTCCTCACCGTCACTCTGGAGCCGTTAGCTGCTGGAAACATGCTGGTTCTGTTTTTTCTCTGATTGGTCCGGTTCTGTTCTGCTGGGTTCCCAGGGCTCAGCTGGATTTCAGGCGAGATGTGCGTCTGTGGCGTCCTGCCCGGTTCTGATGGGCCGGTATAAACAGCAGGCATTTTTATGCGCCCCGCCTGAGAGCGTTTGATCCTCCTCTAAACCGCAGCGACCCGGCTGACGAGGCCCGCGGGCCGACCCAGTTTCAGGAGCTCCTCAGGATGAAACGCTGAGCTTCGAACCTGGCAGCAGATTTTCTAGGTCAGCAGAGGCAACCAGGAAATGAGGCAATGCGTCGGCGCGGCTCGGCTTCCTGAGACGCTTCAAAGGTCCCATTTATCACGAGCCAGAAAAACCAATCAATCAGTCAATCAACCAATCAGTCAACTAAAACATCAGGTGACCTTCGCCATCAAATATTGGTTGCAAATATGAACATCATAGGAGTGTTCCAGCAAGTGTTTTGACCTCTTGTGACATTAAGCAAAGCAAAAACCTGGAAGCAAAAATTTCACATTAAAGATAAAAATCAAAAGGAAGTGTCAATTTACTTGTACTTGGGATAATGAGAAAATCTTGGACGCTGCAGAACAAATTCAACCTCAACATCACGCGAGTTAGGAGGCCCATGGAACTGGGCCTCACATGTAGTCAGCAAAGCATTTGAGACAGAATCAGAAACGGACGACTGCACAGGATTATTATCCAACCGGGTATAAGTATGCACAGTATTTTGCTAGGGGGTGTTGAGAATATAAGTCTAGTTAGCATAACTATAGAGATAGTTAACCTTTAGATGTATGAAATATTAGATATAGCATGAACATTTAGAGTAGATTCCAAGTTAGGGAAACTTAGATAAAGATCCAAACTAATTTAACTGGTGTCTCTCGGAACTTACATAAATTTCTAAGGAGGGTTTTTTGTTGTACGTTAAGAGAAACCGGAAACGGTCCAGACCATTAGTCGCATCATTAACCTGCATCCTAGAAATAGAAACTGGTAACAAGAGTGTTACGAGTGCACACAGGCCAGCTGAGTTTTTTGGTAACCCACACATTTCTTTAAGAAAGTCCTGCCTGTTATTGCTACTGATCTGATCCAAATCGTAAACACATCGCTTACATCAGGTGTTTTCCCCCAGGCCTTGAAAACGGCAATTATCAAACCAATGGTAAAGAAGAACAACCTGTACAAATCACTATTGCAGAATTACAGGCCGACCTCTGACCTCCCATTCATCAGCAAACTTATTGAAAAACTGTGTCAACAATTAAATAGTTTCCTCATGATGACCAACTGCTTTGACTCTTTCCAGTCTGGTTTTCCTGCTCACCACAGCACGGAGACTGGCCTAGTCAAAGTATTCAATGATATTCATATAAATACGGACTGTGGCAGAACCACGGTGCTGGTTCTGTTGGACCTCAGTGCAGCTTTTGACATATTACTGAATCGACTGGAGAGTTGGGTCGGACTCTCCGGTTCGGTGCTCGACTGGTTTGAATCTTACTTAAAGAACAGGAATTTCTTTGTTTCAATTGGAAACTTCTCATTAAAGAGGTCAAAGGTCACATGTGGGGTATCCCAAGGTTCAATCTTAGGACCCCTCTTATTTAATATTTATATTCTCCCACTAGCTCAGGTTATAACAGGAAATAATATTGGCTACCATAACTGACACACAGCTCTACATTATGATGTCACTAGGTGACCTTTGACCCCATCCAATCACTGCATAAATGCTTAGAACAGATAAATGTGTGGATGTGCCAAAACTTTCTCCAGCTGAACAAAAACAAAACTGAAGTCATTATTTTTTAACCTAAAGAGGAACGATCTAGAGCTCTAGATCTAGAGCTATAGATCTAGAGCTATAGATCTAGAGCTATAGATCTAGAGTTATAGATCTAGAGTTATAGATCTAGAGCTATAGATCTAGAGCTATAGATCTAGAGTTATAGATCTAGAGCTATAGATCTAGAGCTACAGATCTAGAGCTATAGATCTAGAGCTATAGATCTAGAGCTCTAGATCTAGAGCAATAGATCTAGAGCTCTAGATCTATAGCTCTAGATCTAGAGCTATAGATCTAGAGTTATAGATCTAGAGCTATAGATCTAGAGCTATAGATCTAGAGCTATAGATCTAGAGTCAATGCACAGCTTCAGTTATTACAACTAAAAACTAGCGATCAGCCTGAAACCTGGGAGTAGTGATGGACTCGGACCTGAACCTCTAGAGCCACATAAAGACAGTAACAAAGTCGGCCTTCTATCACCTGAAGAACATCTCCAGGATTAGAGGACTAATGTCTCAGCCAGATCTAGAGAAACTCATCCATGTGTTTATCTTTAGTCGCATTGATTATTGTAACAGTGTCTTCACAGGCCTGTCCAACAAATCAATCCTCCAGCTGCAGCTGATCCAGAAGCTGCTGCTCCTGTTCTCACTAAAACCAGGAAGATAGAGACATAACAGCAGTTTTAAAGTCCCTCCACTGGCTCCCTGTAGCTCAAAGAATAGATTTTAAAATACTGTTGTTAGTTTATAAATCACTGAACGGTTTAGCACCACAATACATCAAAGATCTGCTGTTGTTGTATCAACCTTCCAGACTCTCAGGTTCTGGTTCTGGTTCTGCTCTGCATCCAGAACCAGAACCAAGAGAGGAGAAGCAGCTTTCAGCATCTATGCACCAAAACTTTGGAACAAACTTCCAGAAAACTGTAAAACAGCAGAAACCCTGACTTCTTTTAAATCGCAATTAAAAACACATTCTGTTTAGAATTGTTTTTGAAATGTAATATGTATGGATTTGTATTTGTGGATATGTATGTAATTTTCTATTTTTTTATTTTTTTTCCTGTTGTGGCGAATACCCGGCGGCGGAGTCCGGCGGTAACAGGCGCTTCAATTCCGTGACAAAAAGAAAAAAAAAAACAAAATTTCTGTTTATGATGTAAAGCACTTTGAAATGCCTTGTAGCTGAAATGTGCTGTACAAATTAAATTTGATTGATTGATTGATCAATCAATCAGTCAATCAACCAACCAGTCTGACTTTACATGCTTTCCCTGCTGAAGCTCATCCTAGTTAAGCCCAGACTTTAACTAGGCCCCTCTTCCATTATGAACCTTATGTTTCAATCCAATTATCAGGAAACTTTAAACAAACTGACTAGCATGTAGCGCACGTCTCAAAGATGGAGCCAATCTGCTGCAGCATCGTTTCTTTTTTCAGAACATCTTTTTGGTTCACCTCAAACGAACCAAAACTTTGTTCTTGTGAAACAGAGGAAGTTATTTCTAATGCAAAACCTCAACATGTGCATAAAAGCGTCAGAGTAAACACTGCGGCTTCAGCCGGTTCGGTTTAATGGTTCTGACTCAGCTGCAGCGATCAGGACCGGCATCACAGGCAGTGATGCCAGCCAGGTGACGCCGGACGCTGATCTGAGCTCGACCTGCAGGACCAGAACCCCAGACGAACCGGACCCACAGCCAGCAGAAACCGCTGAGTCAGGCGTTCTCTGCACTGTCGACAGAAAACAACCAACCAGTCTGACATCAGATGGGGGAGCGTCTGGATGAACCAGCAGCTCTGAAATGAGCACAACAAACATAAACTTGGGATCGATTATTGATCGGCAGCAATTTCTTTCATTTTAGGAGATCAGTGATGAGCTGATACTTTCATGTGACTTCACATCATCAAAGGTCCAATAGTCAGAGTGTGCTGCCAGCCCCGCCCACCAGGGCATGTCTGCCCCCCAATGTTACCAACTCAGACACTTTCATGCTTTATTCAGTCAAATTTCAAGCAAAAATAATGAAATCAGAATCAGTGATCGGATAGAAACGTGCATCTAATCAGTGAAACAAGATGAGCTGAAAGCTGCAGGTGACACAGCTGGAGAGCAGTAGGAGAAAATGTCACAGAGATGCAGAAAAGATTTAACAGCAAACTGTAGAGTCCAGGCCCGGTTCTGGTTCTGTTGCTGCAGGAGGGACATGTCCCCTGTCTGTCTCTGTTGCGTCGAGGGCTGCTGTAAACAAATATTTTAGTAATGGAGTAATCTACCGATCATTCTTACGATTAATCAAGTAAAGGGATAAAAACTGATCATATATAATATTGGTAAATCTGGCGTAACACCAGAGTTACGATCACATATCAATATCAGTCCAGTTTTTCATTTTTGAGCTTCTCCAACAGAAACTTTTCTGTAGTTTAGAAAACTAACTGTAACAAAAACGTTTCTAAGTTATGAAGAATCTGAAATGATATGAAACTGAATAACAAAGAGGCAGAATCACAACACGCTTCTGAAAATGATCCAGCTCTTGGTTTTCATCTCCACTCAGTTTAATAGATGAACTTTGACCTTGGCCCAAACCTGTCAAGCTTTGGGTTTGAGAAAACAGAAATGTGACCTCGTGTTGGGGGTCATGGGGTCATGGAGGTCATAGAGGGCAAATGAACGAAAGCTGGGGGGAAATGGACCAGGGGACGTTAGTAAGACCTGGGCAGCAATACGGGATGTTTACGGCGCCATCGTTCATCACGCTGAGCAACCATGAGCCGCCATGACGCTCCGCCATGACGCTCCGCCATGACGCTCCGCCATGACGCTCCACCATGACGCTCTGCCATGACGCTCCGCCATGACCATGACGCTCCGCCATGACGCTCCGCCATGACGCTCCGCCATGACGCTCTGCCATGACGCTCTGCCACCCGTCATTTAAGGATTCTGATTGGTCCCCGAAACCATGACAACCCGGGTATTATCACCGATCAATTAAATCCATGAGCCGAACCTGAAGACTGGACGTTATGCTGCTAACACTTAGCTTCCACCAACAACCCAGAGGAAGTCAGAGCTGCATGTAAAGCTAATAATGTCCCTCCGGAACACGGTGCTAATAAATAAAACTAAGGAAGCTTCAAGGCAGATACATTTTCCTAGATTAGTTTTAATAGTCGAGGAA